AATCATATCCATGTGATACAAATTAAAACACCTTTCAGACTTTTTGGGAATATATTCTAGAATCGAATAAATATAAAATATAACTGCAGAAGTAAACACTGTTCAAAGTGGCCGTGGCGTCGCCCGACCTTCTGGAAGTTCTGCGCCGGCTTNCGCGTCCGTCCTCCGTAAGCGCCACCGCGCGACTGATTGAGATTGTCCAAGCCGTCATGGGCGATTTTTTCCACATTTTTTAACATAGTAACTAAATAAGACGCAATATAAAAATTTCATCCGTTAAAAGCCCTCAAGTTATTTCTGAACTTTAGTTTAGTAAAAGATTCAGAATCTCAAATCGCTTATTTTAAAAATAAAACCATTATTAGAAAACGAATAGAGGTAACTTTGGGAATTTATTCTATCGAGTCAACTTCATCAAATCGTGTTTCCATCCGTTAATAGCCCTAGAAAATATCCTCAACTATGCCCAAAAAAAATCTTAGCCTTTTATTTTACTGTTTAGTACCTCAAAAATGAAAAATGAAAACCTCATTTTCGCCATTTTCTTCAAGTAATTAACCTAAAGTTAACTTTAATTTACGCCCGAATAAAAAAATCTCAGTCGGTCAGTCACCTCTCATTAACTTTGACAGCTACAGTGAAGGTCACGTGATTTTGTAAGGGCGTGTCATTTGTATTTAACACTATGACTAGTGCCTTTATCGTTAATAATAATTAATTTATTAATAAACTGTATTAGGAGACTTACTTAACTAAACTATACTAAAGCCTATAGTCAAATTTTTTAGTCTACTTACCTAAGAATTTTGATGATTTTTCAATGGCATAGGCTCTAACACCAGTATAATTTCAAAATATTGGATCTTTCAATCGCTTTTCTATCTTAACTAGCTAACTAAGATGCTTAAGACTTAGAGTAGGCGCACACCGTTGATTTTTAGTTGGCCGATAGTTGTGCCCGATTTCAAATTGTATGAAGAATCGGCTAAATCGAATCGGCGTAGTGTGCGCACTCCCATACATGCCCATACTGATCAACAGCCCGACTAAACTATCGGCCGACGAAAAATCAACGGTGTGCGCCTACTCTAAAAGTCAGTTAAAAAGCTTTGTTAATTACAATTAATCTTTATGTACTTACCTACCTATCTACTAACAAACCTAAATTGTTTCCAGTCTGGGTCATACTTATGCGAGTTTAATAAATAAGTAATTGTATGTATTTTTGCAATAATGTTTATAACTGGAATTGTGGTTATGCCTATCAAAACAAGTACAAAAAACAGGAAGCTAAATGGCAACTGGATATTACATTTAACTAATAAATAAAGGCCATAGCAATTATTGTGGCACGTTGTCATTTCATGATGTTTTAATTAATAGACCAGTTGTGCAGATGTTTGAAGTTTCTCTAATTACCCTTTATTCTTTACCATTTGGTAGAGACAACCGCCTAAATATGAGAACCAAAATGTTTTTTTAAATAATACCTATGCTTCAATTTTTTTCAGTTAGCAGATTATTTATTGGAAAACCAGGGTTTTTTATTATGTGTAACACATATAACTTATTTTTTGGTCAAATGTTTAAAAAAAAAGTGTAGCACTAAAGTAAATTATCGACTTCTTATCGAGTTTTTAGAATTCTAATCTAAAAACTCACTGCGGATTTACACATGCGATGTCTAGAGTAAGTTTTTTACAGAATCACACTGCAGTATTGTTGATAACTTACTTAAATTCAGAATTATTATAAATAATTTAAAGTCTGAACCTGAATGTAAGTAAGAAAATATGAAACTTCTAGAAACGGACCTAATAAAATAGTTTTATTTCTCAGTCCAAGGCTTTTAAGTGACCTTTAAAATACTAATTAAGTAAGTAAATATTACGATGCATCCAAGACCAGCCTTAGATAATAACATCTTAATAATTTAATTATGATTAATTATTTCTTAGATGGATTGAATGGCATTTTAACGAGTTTTGGAACTAAATGATACCTACAAAGAAACATTTTTAAAATTGCTTTTTGTTTTTAAAACGAGCTTTTGTTTTAAAGTGTTATCCATTCGTTTTTGTGGAGGTTAACTCAAGGCAAGATTTTATTTTTGTCGCTTTAAAACTAAATACGATAAAGCGAAGTATTAATTTCATGGTTACAGTATCTGTCACCAAGTCGAGCAAAAAAGCGGCACGGCCGTACCATCCTTTTCTCGAAGCAATTCAGGCCATTTTCGACCGCCTGTAACTTCGTTGTGGATAAAACTAGAAGGCTGAATTTTCATTAGCTATGCAGGCATTGTAAAGACACGGTATATTTAAAATTTCATTCAATTTGAACCAGTAGTTTAAGAATTATAACGGGTCAAAGTTACTTAATTTTGTCACTCACTGACTGACTCACATTTATGTAAAACGTTAAAGATTTCCTGGCCTGGACTTGGTATTACATGGATCTCACAACTTTTTACCGTAGAACAACTGAGTTGCGAGACTTGGTTTTTTTGACAAGTATTGTTTTTGATGGTAAAGGCTTACACACTAATGATTCGGTACAGTTACAAGTAGGTAACTGATGCAACTTGAGAGACAAAGATCCTAAAATCCGTTGTTAAAGAGTAAAATTAACATCTCTAATTACAGTTTAGTCCTTTTTATTACTGACGGGATTACTGCCATGTACATTAATTTTGAGTTTCCGATATTTCGGCACTGTTGCAAGCACCATGGTCACGGAGTTACTGAGGAAACTTGCGGGTGAGATGTTATGAGCAGACATATCGGTCTATCCTCTTTCGCAGTCTTTTATTACAATTGCCTCCCGTACCACCGTTCACCAACTCATAATTTTCTCGCAACTGTTCTCGACACACAATTACACAATTACCACAAACTGTTGTAGAACTACCCATTCATAAATTCAAAGCACATATTAAAAGTACCTTAATGAAAAAGGGCTACTATAAAGTCGATGATTATTTAAAAGATAAAAATGTTTGGGATACGTTACTGCCTAGCTCGCATAAATATTTATAACTTTGTACATTTTAAAGCATGTAAACCTTTGAAAAAGAGGCTGACAATAGTGACTGAGTTTCTTGCGCTGCTTCTTCTCAGCACTGGCCCATTTTTGTCCTGAAGCAGTGGTAGGGTTAATACTGGGACGTGTAAAAGTGCTTTTTTTAAGCCTATTTACAGAAATAAATGAGTTTTTAATGAGTTTTAACAACAGTAATAATAATTATGATAGTGACCATGAAAGTTTAAAACAATATGCATTTTAGTCCATCCCTATAACTTTTAAAAGGTTCTTTCTTTACCAGAGTCGTCGTAGTAGATTTGTACGTATTTAAAATCAGCTTAATAAAGGTCAGCACAGAAATGGAGTTAGCAACTGTTTTAAACGGTCTTAGCTCTGGGTCAGTCCTTACTAGTAAACATTTTTATAAATACCTGTAGACCGAGTCTATTCTTTCGTATGCTTTGTTACCTTTCAATTTCCTTTATAATTATTTTAGTTAGCTATAGTGTAGAAGAAAAGAAATTGAGAAGAAGATCGGACCTAACTTTCTAGAGGGAAAATTAATTTAACCTCTTTAACCATCTAAATAGTTTTGTTTGAAGACTTATGAATAGATTGTAATGGTCTCTGAGCACTAAAAATATGTCTCTCTCTCTCTCTATCGAGAGCTTAAAAGCATACTTAGGCAATAATAAGCTATAAATTCACCTTTAGTAGGTACTTACAATGTTTCTTTTATGTTACTTCTATAAGATAGCACTTGTCAACTAGACTAGACGCAAGCATTATTCAATACAATATTTAAATAATTATACTGGTTTGTTTGTGCAACAGTGGCAGACCGAAACCATATTTTGCTTCCTGATTTGATTTAAATAATATCTCACTCTTTCCGCATGCGGTCAGGTTAAATAATGATTGTGATTGTCTCTACTTCTGCATTTTAGATTGTATTTTATTGTCCATACTTCTCTATATTTATAATACTGATTTTGCCATTATCTGAACTAAAATTGTAGAAGAAATAGAAATAGCTAGCTTTTTAAATACACTGTAACATTTTTTATTGAAATCCTGGCTCCTAAACTAGTGTAAACTGTATTTCATATTTATATCCGCAAGTATTTAATAATTTATAGACTCTATAAAATTAATTATATTAAAAGTATTTTTGTAATTTACACAGACAACTCTATAATTTATAACGTTTCATCAAAATCGTGTTCAGTAGTTTTTGCGTGAAAGAGTAACAATACAGTTGACATCCAGACATCCATACAAACTTTCGCGTTTAAATAACATAGATTATTGACTTATTGTCGTATTTATAAAAACGGTAACAAGATGTAATAATACAGACAAGGTCATTAAAGATCTGTTACGTTAAAGAAACTAAATCCTGACCTTAATCCGTCCTCATGAATGTATTAGACGACGCCTTGACCTATCTAATCATGCAAATGCATACAAGTGCATAATATTATAGTTATAAGGTCATATAAATAAAAATAGAAATCGTTTTTAGCTACCTTTCTAAAGAACTCTACATTCATTTATCATAATATTTTTGATCTACGCTTCTCTCTGTAGTAAATTCAAGTTCGTAATAATTAGATGACTAAGTTTGTTCAACGATTTCATTCAGAGAAAATTGTAGAAAACTTCAATGCCAAACTTCACGTACGAGAGTAATCTTTGAAAGTTAAAAGCACAGAGAAAATATGTAACTACCAATGTCAACTGTAGGTTAGTGATTAAGGTAAGTAGAGCTTGATAGCAGTAGACATGTAAGTAATGTAAAAAAATCAAGACAATGTAGAACAATAATTATTGCCTAAGACCGCAAATTACTCGTAAAATAGTATTCCTACAATATGCCTTGATTCTTCTGGCTATCTTCTCCCTATTATTCATAAATTCTTCTGGGAAATAAAGTTCTTTAAGCCTAATATTCTCAATGCTAGACTTCTACTCACGTTTCAACTGCTTCCCCTCCGGAGTGCACCTCTGAGCATTGATGAGGCAGTCCACATAGTTCCTCACCAGTCTCTTACTGTTGAACAACGCGTCTACATCCAGGTAATCGTATCTCTCATCATATTTCGGCATCCTGGCCATTCTGTTCGAGTCCAAGTTCTGCCCGCAGACTGCTGCTGCACAAGCACAGAGTAACAACACAGCACGCATTTTGACACAAAAAAACAAAAGCCACTTTTAAATTTTCAAATTTGATTTTCGAAGTTCGAAAACGATTCGCGTTTGTTTTGAGCGAGTCCGCGCCAAAGTTGCGCGCGCGCGGTTGGCGCGTTCGACGTATTATGGCGTGCGCGCGAGTGACCTCCGCGTTATAAGATAAAGACTGCGTTTGCGGCTATGCGCTTTCTTTGGTAAAGGGCGTGGAAAGTTCGGAAGTAGGCTTCGCTCAATTTCTTATGTACATTATGTACACATACTAATTGAGTTCTCGGATGAAAAAAATACACAAAAGTAACATTTATCTTATGGGTTTTAGCTCTATGGATCATTAACTATGAGACCTATTTTTGCATAATTTGATTATGCGTAAAAGGAAAAATCAGAATGCTCAGTTCATGATCAGATTGCTCATTTAACTAGGTACATATGTAAAAAATATACAACCTCACTGAGAAAATCTTAATAGACAAATTTCACTTTTGACCAGCGCTGTTTAATCAGATACATTGTGGGTGGAAAACTTATAAGTATAACTACAGGAAGAACTATAGGGACCAGGTAATGTCAATCAATAACAGAACATAAGAGGGAAGTTATAAAATATCCAGCTGTATGCATAATTTATATCACGCACTACATAGGTACAAGACCATAAAATGCACTGAGGAAGTATAATACAATTATGTAGTTAGGTAGTTATACACTTATCTCATACCATGCAATACAATACAATCGAAGGAAAAGTTATCATCGATATACAACCTACATAATATCATTTTCATCAATATTTTTCTGGATTTTCCACATGAATACTTGGTAGGGAAATAAAATTACCCATTAATAAATGTACGAGGACATGGAAGTTAGCAATTTGGCATATGTTAAAAATTGAATTACATAATTCTATTTTGCATTCACAACCTAACTAATAATTACAATATAGATTAACAATTACAGCATCCAATCTCTCCAACAATGGTGAACTCATCATTTATTGCACAAAACAATGGTTTATAATTTAAAAAAACAAGTTCACATTAACATTTTGTAACGTTTCCGACCAGACGGTTTACGTCACCTAATACAGATACAATCAAATTGTAACGGGTAACGTAACTTTGGATATAGAAAACAGCCTTCCATCCTATTGTGTGGGGGCAGCAGCTTGGAACGTCCACCTCCATGATTGTTTTGAGATTTCGTAGACATCTTCATAAGTTGATCTTCTCATGTCACCATAATCTATACTAATATTATAAAGGTTTGTTTGTTTGTTTGTTTACTTGAACGCGCTAATCTCCGGAACTACTGGTCCGATTTGAAAAATCAGTGTTAGATAGCCCATTTATCGAGGAAGGCTCTAGGCTATACAACATCACGCTACGATAAAATAAGAGTAGAGCAATAATGAAAAATGTTGCGAAAACGGGTTTTCACGCGTACGAAGTCGCGGGCACAGCTATAAGTTGCAGGCAACTTCAGGCAAATAAATGACTATGATTTTAAAGTATATTTGCGGTAATGCTCACGACATGCCGACTCTATAATTCGCACAAGCAGTATTTACTTCTTGTACCTACTGTCATATTTTCTTTATTAATGTATAATGTGTGAATTAACTATGTGATTAGTGGTAGATGGCTAATTGTTAATTGGGGAGTCTTAACTCTGTAAATTAATGTGCTCAAAAACTTCTCCATTGACTTATCAGTAAGGACTTTTAATTTGACATGTTGATGTTTTGGCACAACCTCGTCAAAGTCACGTGACACAGACACGTGCCGTGCAGAATGTGGGTTACTTGTACAAAATCATAATATCCTATATTAATGAGTTGAACAACTTTCCCACGTTACGCTAAGCACACACGATGTGGTATCGCACTACATATTATAGTGACGAACTGTAACGTAGGCATTAAGTATAGGTAGAGGTCGGAGGATATTTATTCTTATTTTTCTATGATTGGTACGGAACTATTCCCACGTACCTCTCGTTCCCACCGCTGCAACTCCTGTGTAGCCAGGATCTACAGCTAGACCGCCAATAAAAACCCAACCAGGGAAGGCCAAGTTTGTTCCGGGGGAAAGTTAAACTGTCATTGGGCCCGCAATGAAATAAATCAGAATAACATAGGAGTTCGAAGTTAGGGTTCGACTTTCCGCCAGTGAAAAGCGGACGGATTCTATGATTGGTAGGAAAGCACTGGATGCAAGCCGCTTCCAACTGGTCAATATGGAAATCATTTATATGTTGTACCTATGTTCAGCAGTGGACGTCCTAAGGCTGAAATGATGATGACTCTATGATTGGATAAAAGGAGTTGCATTGTGTATACGATACCTTACTGCTCCGTAAATTGATGCCAATCTCAAATGTGTGTGTCAAAAATATGCAAGAAAATTAGCACTCAAACATAGAATAGTAAAGCTCAAGCAGAGCATTATAAACTAACAAATTAATGCAAGAATTTCGCACATGTAACTTTCTCTAGTTTTGTCTCATATTTAGGAGACACTTTATTTGTTTTTAAGCATGCTTGAAAACAATGTGAACGATAAATGTGTAGAGACAGCAAATGGCTTAAATAAAAGATGTATAATGATATTTTGTAAACTTTTGTTTGCTTGTAATTTTAAGTACTTTATCTTCTCTTTAAATATTTATGTCAGAAAACATGTTTCAAGTACGAATGGAGTGCCAATGCTCTCCAATATTCGAAAAATATAAATACAGGTTCAAAATGGCTTGTAGCCTTTTTCTTTTGGTTTTTTATCGTTTTTATGATCCTGCCCCGCTATTAGAACGTGGCGCGGCGCACGTAGTTAACAAAATCGTAAATTCTGTAGAAAGTCTTCGACACAGGTTTTTGAAAAGTTTATTGAAACAGGCCAATCGGCCATTAATGGTGCTAATTGTTGAGTTCTACTTTTATTGAGATATATTGTCTTTATTCACTTTCTGTTTTCTATAAACTATTTTTTACCGACTTCAAAAAAGGAGGTGGTTCTCCAATTACAGAATTAGTGACACAAAATGCTTGTTTTCTTGTATTTCCAACAAATTGTGTATTTCAGTGACAAAATATAAATAGGCATCGGAGGTTTCTAAATTAGTTGAATAGTGCATTCAAAGAGATTTTGGCGAAATGACCCGTAATAAAATTAATGGACCAATTAATACTATTGCAGTTCTCGTTTATTTTACACTAGCTTTCCGCCCGCGGCTTCGCCCGCGTAGTATTTTGTCTGTCACAGTAAAACTTTATCGCGCGCGTCCCTGTTTCAAAAACCGGGATAAAAACTATCCTATGCCCTTTCCCGGGACTCAAACTATCTCTATGCCAAATTTCATCAAAATCGGTTTAGTGGTTTAGGCGTGAAAGCAAGACAGACAGAGTTACTTTCGCATTTATAATATTAGTATAGATTTTATTGGATTAAACGGGATGGTAATACAATGTCAAGTCATTATAATAGGAATCAAAGAGGTCTAGGTATTACACTTGTTATTATTCTGTGGTATTACCTGTAAAACAAAAATCCTAACGAGTTTATTGGAAAAGTATTAGAAACTAATTACTTAGTTAGGTATTACTCGTTTCTTAGATTGTTTTGATCACATTCTTTTCAACAATTAAATAAATCGGAAACTAATCATTAATGGCATTTAGTTTTTACCGCAATGACAGTTAAAACTACTTTATTGCATTGGCGCCTATTAATTAAGTAGTTTTACTGTGATATTTCGTTACTATGAACCAGTTTTCTAACTACTGTTTTATCTGTAAGCAAGTAGAATAGTCCATCTCTTCAACACGATCTTATTTAATTTCAAGTCAGTTCTGTGCCTAGAACTGCATCTACAGCATGTTAGGTAGATGGGTATATGAGCCGACTCTAGCCCATGTTAGCATGGGCATATAAATGGTATGGTGAAGTCAGAAAATTGATATCTTCATTTTAATTATTTTAATTTTCATACAAATCGGATTTTATAAAATTTATTTTGTATGAAAATTAAAAAAAATAAAATGATGATATCAAATTTCTGACTTCACCATACCATTTATATGCCCATGTTAACATGGGCTAGTGTCGGCTCATATACCCATTTACCTAACACCCTGTATAGGTAGGCTTGATAAATTTGATCAATAGGGCGGCTCAATAACTCTATGATCTCTACAATAAGATGAGGAGAGGATTGAAATAAAAGTTCCCACATTTTTCATAGCGACTTATGTCAAGTTTAACAGGTTATAATAATCTTATTTAAAGTCGAAATAGTCTTGTCTAGGTCTTTTTTATCTTACCAACTTCGATGAAAGTAATTTCAGCAGGTAATACATTCTTGTGAAATTGATTTCACCCTTCCAATTATGAGGCAGACCAGTTAAATTGAAGTCATAATGCGTCTGCTTATCAGACCGTTCGTAATTTTAGGCGATGGACTACTTTGAACAGCAATGCCGCATTTTATAGTAGACAAATCGGTCCAGTAGCTTCGCCTATTCTCTCCTCAAACAATCAAATCTTTGCTCTATTGATTGATTGATCCATCCGACTGATTTCGGCCATGGCGACCACTCCGACTCCTAGCTGTCTTGGCGGCGCTAGTGTGCTCTTTATAATATTAGCACAGAATAATAATAAGTACATATTAGTTAGATGTTCTCTTTGAAGTAAGTAATTTGAGTCCATACTTCTCTATGACGTTACATTTCATAAAATGTTAAAGGGTAATAAGTATTTTTCTACTTGCGTGAAAGTTAATCAGTAATCTACTTTTTTAATCGAATCAACCAACGAACATGGTGCTTAATGGTTTCAATACGAAAGAAGAAACATTTTATATAGTTAGTTATAATAATTTGCCTTAATCTAATGTAACAACTAAAGATAGAGCTCATGCGATGGACAGAGCAATTTACTTTCCGAGAATAAACTTATTTAAGTAAAAGAGAAATAGTGTATCTTCGAGTAGGTACTTACCTACCTATTAATGCATTGAATCTTTACACGATACTTCATTTTAATCTTACCTGTGGCTATTTTCTCAAGATTCATTTATAAAATACAAAATAAATACAGTCGTGAGCGAACTAAAGTCAAGGAGAGGGTTCCGTAACTTTCAGTCCAGTTACCTAGGTAT